GGATAAAGAAAGGTGGAGGTTGGGGAGGAGGTTTAGCTAAAGCTAGAATAGATGGAAGCCTACTGTTATATTAACTATTTAAAAATATAATAATACAAATAATTTGAGTGGGAATACCTTTCATGGATTGATAATGCTGCTCCCAGAAGCCATAGGTTTTTAAACAAAAATCCCATTGCCAGATGTGGGTTACCTCTCTGTGAGCTGTTGGCCAGGGAGGACCCAAAGCAATAAAGGCTATTGCCAGCGCTCTTAGTTACCCTCCAGAACTAGATGGTAAGACTCTGTGAAGGCATCACCCACGTTGGAGCAGGACGCAGAGACTTGTAGCTGGAACTGAACTAGAAGCTTCTCCCCTACTGGTTAGCATTTATTGTGCCAGAAGGTGCTATTCAGGCACCTTCAGGTGAGAAATCCCATCAGTGTCTTACCCTGTGTGCTACTGTACCATCCTGCCAGGCAAGCTAAGCCCTCTGCTGCAATTCTGGCAGGAGTGAACATGTAGGCAAAGTGCCTTCTAAATATTTATTTTTATACCCATAGGTTAGTTCTGCTGTGAGCCTGGGTCAAATCTTATTTTACAGTGGGTGACAGTTAATGCAGAGGCTCAGGACTGATCAAAATACTGAGACTAAGTGTCTGTTGAGTGCTCATCCCTAAATGGGACATCTGTATCACCCTTTCTAAGGCCCAGGGAATGTCATAGAAACAGGGACAGAAGGATTATCAGAAGTGGAGGATGGAACACTATAAAATTCTGTCTTCTGGATACGTTATGGCCATTAAAAATCTTGAGCACACAGTAGCTGTGGTTACCTGCACCAGACCTTTGAAAACAGACAAGACAGGAAAGTAGAGGAGGGGACTAGTTGAGAGATCAGCAGGATTGGGAGATGGAAATGGGGGTAAATATGATCATAGTACATTCTGTATATGTGTAAAATTGCCAACATTAAAATAAACTTTAAAAAAGTGGACAGGCAAGAGTTTATATCAAATTTTACCACTTTGTTAACATTTTAAGTGATCTCCACCCCCATACTTGGCAACACAGAGTACTGTCATGAATGTCTTCAATTCAGTGCCGTAGTCTTGATTCAGTGGTCTTACCTGGATGTTGCAGTGGAAAGTATAAATGATGTCTCAGCATGTTTATGAAAATGGTTTAACCTCATGGACTATATGAAAGCTTTTTGGGAAACTAGGGGGCCTATGGACCACCCTTTGAGAGCTGTTAGTGTATCAGGCATAAACACCTTTTTTGTTTGCTTGCTAGTATGTGATGCTGAGGTTGAACCCAGGGTCTCCACACTCGAGGTATGGGCCCTATTACCGAGCTGCATTTCCAGCCTAAACCCCATTTCATGTAAGCAGATTTGTGACAGTTATATTTAGCTGTATCTTGCCTCTGTTATTCTTACAGATATCTGTGGAGATTTGAATAATGTTAACAGACATCACCGTGCATTCATTAACTAATATAACTAATGAATCTTTCAAATTGACATTTTAAAAATGGTGATCTTAGATTTATATTTTAATTTACTTTTCATTATATTATTTTATTGCTCTGCTAGATTTCAGAACTGTAACTGCAGTTGAGTTCCTGGTCACAGTTATCATCTCCTGAAATAATAGGTTATTAATAGTAATTGTTAAATAGTTTGTGATGACAATGAAAAGCTTTAATGTTCTTGAACACTTCCCCAAACAGAGAGGAAATGGCTTGGAAATTACTTGATTTATTGTTTTCTTCACTGTATGTGTTTGCATTAATAAAGAATTTTGTAGGGAACTATGTCACTGGATGAATTAAATAAATTTTTGCTTTACTTAGAAATCAAAAAAACCACTTGGGCTGGTGAGATGGTGCAGCAGATCGATGCACTTGTCATGCCAGCCTCATGAAGTGAGTTTGATCCCTGAAGCCCACAGTGAAAGGAGAGAACTGACTCCTCACAGTTGTCCTCTGACCTCCACATATATGCTGCTGTGTGGTGTGCCCTCCAAGCCTGTCACACCCACAGTACTATGCTAGCACTGCTCAAAGCTAATACTCACTCCAAGTACTTGCACTTTTCTTTTTGGCCACTGGGTGTCAGGAGTGCTATAGAAGCTCCAAAGTGGCCAGGGAGGCACAATTGAACATTGGGGGATCCTAGACCTCCACATATTTCATTGTTTTCACTTGATCGAATGGCAGAAGAATCTGATACGGTGTGATCCATAGAAGCAAGGTCCACCTGGAATAGTGAATTTCAGAAGTAAGCCTTTTTAAAGGAGCGTTGTAATGGTTCTGTTGGGTGTTGTAAATGCCTCAGGTGCATTTGATACTGCTGTTATGTCCCTGGCATTCACGGCTTTCTCTTTTTTATGGAAAGATGGATTGAACTTCAATGTAAGAATATCCAGTAATCCCTCCTAGGACACACTGTAACAGCTGGTATTTTTGTGTTGTAGTAAATCAGTTCCATACAACAGTCAGTAATAATTATAGCTGCCTTCTGACAAATTCCAAAGCATTTTAAATCAGTTTAGCCAAAGAAAATAACATTATTGCACAAAAATTTAACTCAATTTGAAAGTTAAATCCAGGAACACTACTTCATTCCACAAAATGTTAAGCATTTTACTGGTTAGGAATCTATCAAACCTTTTTAAAAACTCATATACTTCATATATCCAGGAAGATAATTATGTTGTATTATGTGTATTTAGAAGATAATTACAGTGTGGTGAATGTTCAGCATTGGACATATTTAACCTTGAATATTCATTATGGAAAGCAAGAAATGCTAAGACCTTTCTTGTGTGGCCACTTCCGATTAAAAAGATATTTCTAAGTAGAATGTCAGGTTTTTGTTAGTATTTATGAAATGAGAACGTACCAGACTTTATCAAAGTTTACTTTTGTTTGATAAAAGTGTAAATTGGCCTATGTGGCATATGTAGTTTATAAATGTGAAACTTTGCAAATTCTTTAATGATGAAGGAAGTGGAAGGTTACATAGGATAGAATATATATTTCTGAATGTATGAGGACAATCTATGCCATGGAAATTGTCCCTTACTGTGGCATAAAGAGCTAAGTTCCATGACATGCACATTTGAACAGCATACCTGCTCACATCATATGTATTGCCTTAATGGTAGAAATGTGGGTATACAGTTTATAAATTCAACTGGCTTTCATCTTTTTTATTAGTGAAACAAAAGTCTATTAGCAATATATTCTTTAAATAGTATGTGGTCTTTCTTGGTCTCTCTTTGTATTTGAATTAGGTCATTTGTACCCTAGCTTTATATAAGGAATATTTTTATGTAGTTGAATCTTAATCCTGATTAGAATAATTCGTGAGACCAAAGCAAAAGTTCTTTTTTAAGAGTATTGGAAAAAAGCAGCTTCTGAGTTGGGCATTAGTGAACTTTGCTCTTTTTTGTTCATTTTTAATTTTTAGCTCAGTGAGTTGTATTTTTGCTTGGTATTTAAAACAACTGCCCTCATATTTTTAATTAGTACTCTTCTCTGTATGGATTTGTAATGCATGTTTTTAAACTGTGTCTGCTTTTGTTATAACGTAAAGCAGATTTTAAGGCATCACAGCAGATAGTCTAGTCCAAGAAAGTCTGTTTGATGGTAGATTTTTTTTTTAGTACTAATTTTCACTTTAACAATTCAAAAGCTAATTTAGAAGTCTTTACTGGAATTTTACAGTTGGATTTTATTCAAGCAAAAGCTGGCGAGCTCATTTGTCTTTATTCTGTAATATGAATCAGCAATTTAGAGGCTTTCGGAATAGAAGTAAATCGTTTTCCAGTGTTTACAGTGTCTGTTTTTCTTGTTGTCTTTAACATATGTTAAAATATGTTACTAAATGACTGAGTTTGCTGTATGGAGAATTGGGGGAAAATGCGTTAAAAATGAACTTAAGCTCATTGTGTAGTTCCGATTTCTACAAAAATGTAAATGATGTGTATTTTCCGTTATTAGGCTCAGTGATCCAAATTTAAAACACATGCCTGCTCTTTCTTAGGCGCTAGGCCGCGCGAATTGTAATCTTGCTGGCTTTCTTTTATGTTTTAATTTTGTAATTGTGTTGTCTGAATTTAAAAAAGATATCATACAGCCAGCTTTTATTTACTCCATACAAAATGCTGTTATATGTCTTTGTGTATTTATTATCAGGCATTTTTGTTATTATCTTTATTTTTATATAAGGAAATTAAGACCTAATAAGATTGAATAAGTTATCCAGGATCCCAGAGCCAGCAGGATTAGAGCGAAGCCAGAGCTGACCCCTGCACAGTGTCTGCACTGTACTGAGTTTCCTGCTTATTTTGAGATAAACCGTGTAGTTATTGAAAACAGTGTATTCTTCAGGATACAGCTAAGCTTAGTTTTTACTAACAGAATTTGCTTAGTAGCTTGGGCTAGTAGATTTAGCTTGGATAGCTAACACTTCTGTAAGTCTATAATAACATTCTGCTTCCATTTTAGTAACAATTCTTTCAAGATTATGTTCAGCCTTCAGTTAAAGAACTTTGTAGTTGTGTGCTGGAATGAGCTCTTTGAAGAGACAGCGAGTTGTAGTTTGCTGATAACTCATATGTTCTTTGTTACACATATGGAAGTGTAGCTACAATTTGGTTAACAGAAGGAAGGAACTGACTTACACAGAAACTGAAAGATCTCCATGCACTGGATCAGCTGCCCCCAAACCAAATGTAGAAATCTTTAAGAAGCTTTGACACCTGTGGGAGGAGTGTGCTTTCAATTAAAAATCACACCAGAATCAGAACTCTCCTTTTAAGCATCAGTGTGTCATTGCAGAAGAAATTCTTCAGAAGAATTATCATCTCTGTGGTCTTTTGTTGAATAAAAAACAAATTAGTTATAGAATGTTTAATTCAGTGGTTTTTTTTTTACATATATGCTTACATAGATGTGTGTATATTAAATGTATATATGTATGTATAAATGTTTCTTTTCTTTTATAAAGGCCTTGCACGACATATAACAGCTGCAGGCCATTGGCCCTCCCTACGGCTTCCTGAGGTGAGACGAGGAGGGCAGCCACACGGCTGCAGCCTGCATCATGCCAGCTCTGTCCACTGGATCTGCCGGCGACATGGGTATGTGAACCCAAGGGGGCAGTTTTCCTTCTATCCTGCCCTTACTGCAGCCTTGTTCCCAGTACATGTGGCTTTGCTGTGGGTACAAAGAAGTCATATTTATTTCTCTGTGACTAACATGGGTCGGGGAGCACATAAAAATCAGCCTAGATAAATCTTCCTGGACCTAAGTTACTGCCGGATATTCAGACTTTTTCCTTATGCAGGTGGTGCTGGTAGTGTGTTCCCACGGTCTTGTCTTGCTTTAGAAGGCTGCTGTGCATTTAATTTTTTAATATAAAATATTTTGAACATACAGAAGGTTCTGGCAAATACCATGATAACCACCCATATTGCCTTTGCTCAGATTTAATAACAGACATGAACTTTTGCCATGCTCGCTTTGGACCTCTCGCCTCCTATTTTATTTCTTGATTTTTATTCTCTTTATATGTTACAGTAGGTAAAATGTATCTTGAAATTCCTGTACCTCAACAAGAAATTAAATTAAAACTAAACACTGGGGTATGCTATGACTCAGTCAGGGTGCTTGCCACCAAACCTGCTGATCTGAGTTCAACCTGTGGACCCTACAAGGTAGAAGGAGAATGGTGACTTGTGCAAGTTGTCCTCTGACCTCTATGTGCACTGTGATATATGCATGCCACTCACCCTGTCCCAGTGAATGAATAAAGATGAAAAAAAAGAAGCACTCTGAACTCTAAACAAGTCTCATCAGTTGTAAGATTTAAAGACATAAAGAATAAATGTTTATAAGAAAGAAAATACCACACATATCACATGTGTGAAATCTCCTTTCTGATCTGATTGAGTAATATAGTCAAGTTCCTTACAGTCAGATTTGTTCATAAGTGTGGATTCCTGGAGGCTTCAAAGAGCTGTTCAGAATGTGGGGGAGAGACCAGAGCTGCAGTCCAGTAGAGTATGTGTTTAATGTGTGGGAGACGCTGGGTTTATTCTTCCAAACAAAAGGAAAAAAAGAGTAAGGGTGAAATATATTTTCTTTTTGTCTTTTTTTAAAAGAAAATTATTTATTTATTTATTTATTTATTTATTTATGGAAGGAAAGGGTTTAATAAACCTTACAATTCTAGGTTCAGTCCATAACTGAGGGGAAGCCAAGACAGGACCTCAAGTAATTAGTCACATCACATCCACAGTCAAGAGCAGAGAGAGATGATTGCACCAGTGCTGTGTGCTTCCTTGAGCTTATGCTCTGCTGTCTTATATAAGTCAGGACTCCATGCCTAGGGAATGGTGCCACCCACAATGGGATCTTCCAACATCAATTAACAATCAAGATGATCCCCCACAGACATACCCACAGATCAACCTGATCTAGAAAATTCCTCAATTGAGACTCTCTTCTCAGGCAACTCTAGGTTGTAGCAAGTTGACAAAAACTAACCATCACAAGTGACAAGGTCCATTCTTTAGGCTAGAAGCAGCTCTCCCAGGCAGGAGAGTAAGGAAATGCCAAGCTCTGCATTCTGCTTTGAGCTAACTTAATAAGCAGTAGTGCACTGTCCTCTCTCCCGAAAATGGATAGAGACTCTAACTCAGTGTGGGTCTTCACTGGGGCCACTGGATTCATTCTTAGTGCAGTCTAGACCTCTGAATAACTTCTCTGCAGCACAGCTCACCAACAGCTAACTTTGGTATCTGTGCCCTACTTTAAACCTTTCCCTACCTTTATGCACATGAATCTTTGTCTTTATCATTATTTTAGAAGACACTCCTAAAAATAAAAATTAAGTGAAAGGATCTCATAGTTTAAGTTTCATTTGACAAATTCCCAAAAGCTTTATGGAAAAGATTCTGTCAGCTCCCCCTGGTTCAGGAGTAAGGGTGAAAATAAAAAGAAGAGTGAGGGTGAGAATAGACCATGCATTTTCTTTTTGTCGTTTTTTTAAAAAAATTTATTTATTTATTTTATTTTATGTGTATGCATGTATTGCCTGCATGTAGGTAAGTGCACCCTTGTCATGCAGTGCCCGCGGAGGTCAGAGAGGCTGTTGGATCCCCTGGGACTGGAGTTACGGACAGTTGCTAGCTGCCATGTGGGTGCTAGGATTCGAATCTGGGTCTTCTGCAAGAACAACCAGTGCTCTTAACCGCTGAGCCATCTCTCCAGCCCCTCTTTTTTGTCTTTTTAAAAGTTTTTTTTTAATACGTATGTGTATGTGCCTGTGTGCGTCTCTGTGTGGGTATGTACATGTATGTGCAGGTGCCCACAGAGACCAGAGGTGTTGGATTGCCCTAGAGCTAGAGTGACAAGTGGTTGTGAACCACCCAGTGTGTATGCTGGCAATAAATTCTGGTGCTCTGCAAGCAGCAAGCACTTTAATCCACTGATCCATCTCACTAGCCCTGTTTTTGTTTTTGTTTTCTTTGAGACAGGGTTTTGTTGTATACCCTAGACTGGCCTTAAATTCACAATCCCCAAACCATGCAAGTTCTGGGATTATTGGTATGTACCACCATGCCCAGGTTATGACATGATGTTTTAACACTCTTCCAAAGAAGTGGCAGCTCATAGTATGGCTGAAAGGAACATCCTCTATGTTTCACTGGCCAGAGTGCATCTGGTCCCACCTGCTCCCCTAGCTGGGGGAACTGTCTTTGCCTGAGCTTTTCAAGCACAGGCTAATCATTTTCACTGGTGCTTCTGGCCGATGTCGTTCTTTACTGTTTAAGCTCACCAATGCTTATACTAGGGCAAGTGTAATCTGCTTTGTTTTTATCCATGAACAGTAATTTCTCCCTGGACAATTTTTGTTACCAGGAAATTTTGGGTGCTAAATTACAATTTTTTTCTCAAGATGTTAATTTTGAAGCCAACTCCTTTGGAAATTTTTTTTTCTGTTTAGTTAAAAACATTTTTTTTGTTTATTTTAATTTTTTATTTTATGTGCAAGAATGTTTTGCCTGCATGTGTGCAAGTGCACTCATGTGTGCAGTGCTCATGGAGGCCAGAAGAGGGCCTCATGAACTGGAGTTTGGACACTTGTTAGCTGTCATGTGGGTGCTGGGAACTGAACCTGGGTCCTCTACCAAGAGCAACCAGTGCTCTTAACCATTGAGTCATTTCTCCAGCTCCTCTTTTTAGTTTTTATATAGTCCCACATTACGTTGTGCTACATAAAAATGAAGAATAATGTTTTATAGTGGTCTGGCAATCATAGAAAGAATTTGTTTGAACTATAAATGTATTGAAATTGTTGTGTAATACATTCTGTACTTTGTTATTCATCAAAATGGTCTTAGTTTAAGTGAATGTATTGTTTATATAGAAATCAAAGGGTGATGAAAATGAACATTTATAATCTGCAGTTGTCACTCATGGCTATGTGGAATTTATAAAGAGTTTTTCCACATAGGTATGTCATTTAGTGCAATCAAAGGCGCTGACCCTGCCTTGTACTTTTTTTTGACTTTATAACCCAGCAAGATTTGAGTCAGGCACTGCAGACTTGCCTGTTCTCAGGTCACTGTACTCATGGAAGCCCCAGGGTCGTGTTTGCATCAGATGTTTACTGTCCCCTCTTAGTCCTTCTGTGCAGATGCAGTTGACCAAACCACAGTCCTTTTTATCAAAGTAGTGCTGCTTAGCAACACCATTGATGTTGTTCAACCATTGAGTCTCCAGAAGAATAATGCTAGAGTATCATTGATGGTTACAAGCCTCCATCACTGAAGAAAGGGCTTGACAAACTGTAATGTCAGTGCTTGTGGTAGGCATTTGAATAAATGCAGTCTGTGTGTGTGTGTGTGTGTGTGTGTGTGTGTGTGTGTGTGTGTGTGTGTGTGCGTGTGTGTGTGTGTGCGCTCATGTGTGTATGTAACTGTATGCTCTTATGCACATGTGGAAGCTAGAGAAGTATGCTGGGTGTCCTGCTTTGTCGCTCTTCATTCTCTTCCTTTGAGGCAGAGTCTCTCACTCACGGAATCTGGAGCTAGACTGATGGCTGGCAAGCAAGTTTCAGGGATCCTCCAGTCCTCAACACCCCTCCAATAGTGCTAGGGATTTGAACTCAGGTCCTCATACTTGCAGATCAAGCACTTATTCACAGAACCATCTAGCTGGCCCTGGGAAATGCTTTCAATGTAAACTTTTAGTACTTTTCCCTCTTTCCCCTTTCTGTTTTTTCACTAAGAAAAATGAATTCTTTAAGTTCAGCGTGAAAACATTTCCTTTTCTTACAGTCTTAACTTTCCTTTGCATTTTGATAAGTATTCAAGAATTTTATGTGCATTCGACACTTATAGGCTGGATATGCACAATTGTAGAGCCATGCTTAGCATGTGTGAGGCTCAGGGTTTGATTGCTGGCACCAGAAAACACAGACACTTGACTCTTTTTTTTAATAAAAGATTTTACATACTGTGGATTATATCCCCTCCCCTCCTTCCTTCTTCCTTTTTTGCAATACAGGAGTTTGAACCCAGAGCCTTCTGCATGCCAGGCAGGTATTTGGCTTCTCAGCTACATCCCCAACCCTGCTCTTCAGTCTTCTATATCAAAACACTGTTTCTTGGAGAGAGATTTGTGTGGTGTATATGAATGTGTAAAAGTGTGCATGTCAGTGGGTGTTTATCAATGTTTCTATGCTATACACATCTGCATACTTAGACCAATCAGTTGAACTCGTGCAGTTTTTCCATAATTTCACATAGTGAACCATACCCCTGTTAAGGAAATCGTGGTTTTGTTTCTTCTGTAAATACTTGAAAGATGTGCACATTTAAAAATGTCAAGTTGTCCTCCAGGCTTGTTAAACCTGAGAGCCTTGTGTGGTGAGTGAATCTTCGATCCTTTCGTATACATTCTTGCCAAAATCCAGTACTGCAGGTCTCTGTAGTTTCTGCCACTTTATAGGAAATGCATACTATCTAGACTGTTGAAGATGCATTGCTCCCTCCATGGAGCCCGCTCCTATTGTTAATGGCCATTCACGTGTCTGTGAAGTGTCACTCCATACCTCTTCTTCACCTTTGAG